GATAGTCCTGGGACTGATGCTAAATCATAGTGATGAAATGGATTTTTACAGCTTTTGTGATTAACTTCTCTAATGTCAAAGGTGAGGTTTGTTCTTATCCTTGCTGTGACTTTCCATTTTCGTTATCCATAGGTAATGGAGATTCAGCATCCACAAAGTTTTTTCCAGCAAAAGCAATTCCCTTTGAAAAGTAGGTCTATGCTTAGGTATTTCATAATATCAGTGCTACAGTTAATATTACTATTTTGTATTATGGCAGTTCAGAAAGGTGGTGATCAAATTTGTGTTTCATGGAATCACAGACTGGTTAAGGTTGGAAGGGATCTCTAAAGGTCATCTGGGCCAATCTAGCTACTTAAAAAGCGGGATTAAAAAACAAAGTAAGAGATTAGGCAGACATGATTAGAGATGTAGGCAGGGAAACAGCAGAGTTTCAATAAATGTCCAGGTCTCCAGACTGACATCCATGGTTGCTCTGAATGCAACCTCCGCAGTGGAAACTGCAGAGCATAACTCTTCCTTCTGACTGTTGTGTGTAGAACTTGAAGCTGGGAAGTTGAACCACATGATCCAACACTGATTATATGATCCGATGTCGCTACATTGCTCCACAGTCTTTATTTCAAACAAGTCTAACCAAGGTATATTTTTACTTTGCTACTTCTACTGTACCTTCCACTGTGCCTGTTTCCCTTCCCTGGGCTTCATGCAGTGCTTAGCAGGGCCATGGTATCCCTCCTGTCAGAGAACCTCCAAACCTGGAGCATCTGCTGGCTTTGGCTCCTTCCAGATATATCAACTTCTTCCTATTTTGTTTTCATTTCCAGTACTTTGGCATCTAATTTCCCATATGCTGCTCTTGCTTTCTCCTGCTGTTTCTGTGGGTTTATCTGCACAGATGAGTTGCCAGGGTTTAATGCATCAGTGAAAACGTGGTAATTCTGCAGGACCTTAGTGATGAAAGTGTCAATTTAAACTTTCTTGATTAAATCTCTTTCTTAACATTAATGTGGATGTGTGGGACAGGCAGAAGCAAGCTTGCTCTGTCTGCAAGCCTGCTTTGCTCTAGGTGTTCTCAAGCTTGTATAGTCCATCTTTCAGTAAACTGCAGTTACTCAATGTGCCTGGCCTCTTTCCAGCAGTGGTAATACCAGTGGGAGTTCCCTGGCTTGTGTTTCTTGTTTCTTTAGTGCCTCTGAGTTTTCAGAAATGCCAGACACAGTACGATTATTGAGTTCAAGCTGCAAACTAAAGACTACGGTGTGTACATCTGCAGATTAAAAACATTTAATAACAACAGTACTATTACACAAATTAATTTTCAGTTCTCTGTAAAGGCAGCCTTAGACTTATTCATTAATTTCACAAGAATTACAAAGTCTGTTCAAAAAGGCTGACATCCTTAGACAGAAACTTTGGTGGAGTGGACTTGGTATGACAGATGGGCTGAAGCAGCCCCTTGTGAAAAATGGGCACTCGGAACTCTGATAGCACCTTACTGACAGGCTTTTTTTTTTTTTTTCGACTGAGAGCTACAAAGCCTGGCATGATGGGCTGCTTCTCTGTTGCTGAAGAAGGTAACCTGGGAACCTGATGCATCCAGAATTGTCTATAACACCTGCTTGAGGGGGGGAAATTATCCTATTCTTTAAACACTGGATATTGTTGCAAAAAAACCCCAACACCTCATTCTAAAAGAGAAGAGGGGGAAAAGTGTTTTCAAGTGCTTTATTTCCTTCATTAACTGTGCATTTTCTGAATATAATCAAAGGATTAGTATGAGGATTCTTAAATTTGTGGAAATGTCTCCAGGTTTTTTTTTTAATGTATACCAACTCTTGATAGAACAACTTCATAATTTTTACATCCTCAGAAACAAACAGTATTAAAGATTTTCTGTATATACCCAACTGTGGTGGGTTGACCTTGGCTGGACACTAGGTGCCCACCCAGCCACTCTATCGCTCTATCACTCCCCTTCCCAGCCAGACAGGGGAGAGAGTAAGATGGAAAACAACTCATGGATTGGGATAAGGCAGTTTATTAAAGCAGGAGCAAAGCGGAGGCTTGTGCGCGTAAAAGTGAAACAAAAGATAGCAGGGTTTATTTTCTACTTCCCATGAGCAGTGATGGTCGACCACTCCTGAGAAGCAGGGCTTCAGCATGTGTAGTGGTTCCTCAGCAGGCAGCCACTGGAGACAATGAATGCTCACCTTCCTGCTCCATGCCTCAGCTTTTATATCTGAGCTGACATCACATGGCATGGAACATCCCTTTGGTCAGTTTGGGTCAGCTTTGGCCTACTTGTGTCCCCTCCCAGTATCTTGCCCCTGATTGAGGAAGGAACGTTATAGCACTGATGCTGTGCTGCCCTGCTCAGCAGTAGCCAAAACACCGGTGTGTTACCAACACCCTTCTGGCTACCAATGCAAAGCACAGCACTGTGAGGGCTACTGTGGGGAAAAGAACTCCAGCTCAGCCAGACCCAATACACCAACACACTTACTTTGCGTGCCTTTATAGTTGCCTGTATTTATTTGCTTTCTAAGATACAGTACTTGCTTAAAAATTCCGAGGTTACACAGGTGCTTTTGTAATTTCTGTTATGTTTTAGAAAATAAGCTAGGACTGCAAAACTTTGTCACTGAAATTGCAGTTCCCTGCAGGACCTGCAGTATTCACTGTGATTGTTTATCACAACCTAACTTTTTTCTACCACATAGGTTTTTTACCTTGTCAGGAGGAACTTAAAAAGACTGATGTCTTGTTATTTAAATATACAGGTAGGGCTACACAGGTTGGTATAAAAGATGGGAATTATACAATAAGTAAACATAAGCAAATTGATTTAGTAGTTATCATAATCTATGCAAGTACCCTTTTAAATTTTTGAAGTTAGGTTGCTATGCCATGAACATCATTGCCCAGTACTCAGGCTTTGGTAGCTTGGCATTTGGATTTGCAGAATTTCTCTGCTTTGTTTTCCATAGAAACTAGAACACATTGTTTATTTATGGATAAACAATAAGCTTCCAGTTGAGGATATATAACCTGTGAGTGCAATAAGCAACCAGAAGGAATGTTGTTGGCAGACAACAGACAATTGTTGTATGGATTAGGCAGTAGACATGCTTTTATGTGATTCTTTATTCTTTGCTTTTTTTGACTGTATAGATAGTACATTATACATTGCTGCTGACAACTGGCAATTTCTGACTTCCCTGTAGAACTGGATTTTCAGAAGATTTGGATGTGTGGAGTTAAACATGGCTTCCCGAAGCCTTGTCTGGTGGAAGTAAATGGGAGTTTCATAGTATGTGTCAGCAGGCCAGGACTTGACATTTGTTATTTTCCTACCCTTAAGAAGAAAAAGGAAGGTGTATTGGGAGATCAGAGACGGAATCATTTTGGTTGCTAAAATGGTGCAGCATGATGTAAGTTTTGACAGGCAGTTAGCAGTTTGATTTAGAGCACCTTAAGAAGTGAGGACACATTAATGTTGGCAGTTTGATGTCTGTCCTTCATGAATCTTCCTCTCTTCAGGAATACTGCAAGATCCCTTGCTGGGATCTCAGAGTGTGCGTCTGAGATGAGCCTGGATGAGGTGTTGCAGTCAAACCTGCGTGGACACAGACACGGGGTCCTCCATCTGAACAGTTTCACTGTGGAGGTCCTCTCCTGCTGCACCACAAGTTGGTTGCATAGGCATGGCCTCAAATAGTTGTACTAGGGAAGAGGAGCTGAGGAACGGAACTGGGAGGCTCTAAATGCCTTGTCTTAGCCAACAGGCAAGAGGATAACATCCAACCATAACATAACATCCACTGTCACTTATGGCTGGTAGTGTCTTAAATGCCATCTGAGCATATTGTACATCAAGGATTATTGATTTGAAATAAAAAGCGGATTATGTTTACAATAGAAAAATGAGAACCACTACAATTTCTGAGGCTGGCACATCTGGGTATTAAGTCAACAAGGGGACATTAAAGCAAGCTGCAATTTGACCCAAAAGGAAAAAAAGTGAGCTTTGACATTTTTGATGGTTATTACTGTGTGATAGCCTGTCGGCTGTGAGGTGTTTGAGGGCTTGAATATTCAGTATTTCAGTCAGCATAAATTAATAGAACAAAATGAAATGTGCTTCTACAGCATGAACAAAAGTACTCATGTGTTTTCTTGAGGGTTTATTTAGCTCTCCCTGAGAACATGGGCATAGTATCTGTGTTCATTTGATCTCCGTGAAAAATGGTAGAAGGTTTCATTTCTTCTCCCTTTTCATTTTCTTCAGTTGAATTTTTTATGAGTTATTGTTTATGTGGAAGGATTGATTCCTTTTAGAGAGAAGTAGAACATTCTGTCAAATTCTCCTGTTGGATGCAGATTCACATCCCTGCAACGTGGTGCTGAGGAACTTCAGAGCAATCACATTCTGGTTAGACAAAAGTAATACCACAGAGAGGGTTTCGTGAGCTTCAGTAGCACTGAAATAAAACTACAAAACCTAAGATCAGGAGGTTGCAAGTGTCACTTGCAACATGTTGGATGCCATAGATTAATTCCATATGACCTTTAATGGGAGTGAAAATCTATTTGATTTTGAGCTCTCTTTCCCTAGACAGTACACTGAGTGCTAAAATCCTATGTATTGGCATAAAAATAGAGCACAAAGAAGTGGATGAATTTGAAAGCCAGATTAATTTAAATTAAAAATGCAAACCCCATTTCTAGCAGAGTATGACTGACCATTGAAAATACAAACAACCAAGAGAATGGCAGTTCATCTGTTGATGTCCACCGGTCAAAACTTCAGTCAGATGTGAGTTATGCCTTGGTTATGCCTGATTTCCCAGGATAATTGGATGTCAGTCTGCAGCTGCATTATGCAGGAGGTCACACTTGATATTTGTTATGATCTTTTTCAATTTAAAATCAGAAACTATAACATGAGCCAAATTGAAATAAATGGTGTTCGTATTTGTCTCTCCCTCCCCTCATAGGTACTACAGTGCTACCATTCTGCAGATGTCAGGAGTGGAAGATGACAGGCTTGCAATCTGGCTGGCTGCACTGACAGCATTTATAAACTTCATTTTTACTCTTGTGGGAGTCTGGCTTGTTGAAAGAATGGGTCGCCGGAAACTTACACTTGGTAGCTTAACAGGTGAGTGTTTCATTAGTGTTTAGTATCTTCCTCATAATTATTAATGAAAGGAAAATAAAATTTCAAGTGCAATTTTTTTCAAAGTAGTCCTCTTTAAAATTACAGTGTTGTTGCCATCTTCTCCCTGAAATCATACAGCTTTTCAAGACTAGTAGTATAGTACTACAGCTAAAGGCTAATTTAAAAATGACAGCATGTTATTTTTTCAGGTGAGTTTCTCCTTTAAACCATATTTAACAATGTTTTTATTTAGCTTTAGCTTTTTTTTCCAGTTTAAGGAATCAAATGCTTGGAACTTCACAGCTGGTTATTTTTTAAATCTCCTATGTAATTCCTGGCTGATAAACTGGAATTCAGAACCATCTGATGAAGAAGTACCAGGGAAAGCGTATTGCATAACCATTGCAGCACTTCTTAAAAAACAAAAGAGTTTTTGCGTAGTTACCTCAGATACAATGCAGTAAATACCTTACATACATTACTGTTATTTTAATTCATCTCCTGTATGAGATACTAAAGGGCAGAATTCTGGATTTGTACATTTTATCCAAATATTCAAACACCGTAACTCGTCACAACAGTCTTCTCTTGGAAGCAGGAAAATGCAGCGCGAGCACCCACCCTGTGTTGTGTCCTGCCATTAACCTGCTAATTCCCTGTTTATTCCTGCATCATGGGTTCATTCTGGCTGAAGTGATCTGTGACTGATGCCTGCCTCTGACTGAATGTCTGGAAGGTTCAGACATTTCCAAGAACATGATTTCGAAAAGAGAAACAGTTCCTGCTCCTCTTGAAATAATGTTCAGAAGTGTTTGGCTGGGAAGGTTTAGTGTCTCCATATTTTGTTCTGTTGTTGCTGTCAAAGATCCAAACTTCTAGTTAGTGCAACACAGCAGAGAGTGGGACCAGCTGCCATGTCACTGGCCATGTGCAGTTCCCAGCTCCCAGTTGAGTTAATGTACACTCGAGTATTTGAATGTGTTTATGTAGGCAGAACAGTGACAACCCAGTGACATGTCTGGGTACACATACATGTTTGGTACACAATTACTCAAATCTTTAAATTAAAACATGCAGTTTGGATGCAGTTTGGTGTTCCAAGTTGCAATAAATGTGTATTTGCTTGGTTATAATTTTGATTTGGAGTCAAGAAACCTGAAATTTTTTTCACAATCCAAGTTCAGAAATGAGGTCATGACAGGGGATTGTAAAAGCACATTACTCATGTCTTAAAAGATATCAACAAAAATCTCAAATTGATACTTTTATCACAGTCTGCATGCAGATCTATTAAAATACCTCTCCCCTATAAGTTCTTTGATTCCTCCAGCCAGTCTGTTTTCTTGTCTTTCTGTGAAGCAGATTTCTCCAGGCCTTGCACTGACACTTCTGGTGCTTGGGTGCCGCCTCTCCTTTGTACTCTGTTAGAACAGAGTATTTATTTATTTGTTGATTCGGCCCTAATAATCTCAAATGTCAAGCTAGCCCCTCAGAAGTTTTTCTGGACTCAGCTGTAAAGCTGTTATTCCCACATAGACTTTTCATATGATCAGAGCTCTTTGCTTTTTGTCTCTGTTTAACATATTCAAAGGCTGTACATTTGAAATGTAGATATAAATGTCTCTTACAAAGCATATTAGTCATGGAACAGAGTAGGATATAGAAATAAGACATAGAATTAACAATGCATTAAAAGATCATTTGCTAATGATGTGTTGACACAAAGTAATTGTTTTGTAAAAATGGTCTTTCTTTTGTGGTCAGTTGCTGGCTCTCAGTCTGCAGCATCACTTGAGCCGTGCTGCATTGCTTCCTGTGGTTTTTATCATGCGGCCTCTCCTTAAGGAAAGTACAAATAATGACAATAATGAAAACATATGTCATCTCTCTGTACCATTTAGAATTTTTTTATTCAACAGTTGACACTTTGATTTAGGTAGTGGTGGATATGATGTGTTTTTCTTAACAAGAGTGCTGTGTAATAGAATGATAATTACTAAATCTGCTGATGGATTTGTTTTCCATGTTGAGTTTTCTCAAGAGGTAAACTTATTTTTTACTGCTCTGCTTTGCATTTCCAAGGACATTAACTTTCACACTGAGTTATTACTGGCAACTTGTCTGGTCTTTGGGGAAGCTGGGTAGGCCCCAGTCTCCCATTGCACAAAATGAAAACAAAACTACTATTTTTGCCTACTGCTGCACAGCTGTGGGGTTTTGTTTTATTGATAAAGGCTAATTTATTAGATGTTTATTAGAGGAAAACCTGCAAGAATAACCAGAAGAGAGATAGTAACATTAATGTTTTGATTAAAAGCCAATATACTGTAATTTCATTTTGTAAACTCATGTGCTTTTCCTGCTTTCTGAAAACTTTGAGAAAGAGCTATTTTACATTTTGTTTAATGTATCTTTATAATTTTCAAAATATTAAAAACTTTTGAAACATTGAGCCTTTCATATAGTGTTAAGAAAATTATAGTAAACTGCTACTAAAAAAAAATTACGACCTTTTTCTTTCTCTTTACTACAGTTACTGATTCATCTTAGTTTCACATTCATTTTATAACTTATCATTTCTTTATCTTTCTTCTTTTTCTTCAGTTAGCTTCTTTCTTCAAAGCTGTTAATTGGGAAACATGCAGGAATTTTGACAAGTGTGTTATCCATTTTATTTGTGGTTTTTCTTTTTCCCCTTCAGAATTTGTCAATTTGAAAGCAGGGTGGTATTTGGGCATTGGACAATTTGTGTCTTTTTAAAACAGAGAGGATCTAAAATATCTTCAGGATATTTCTGGGTTTTTTTCCTATCTCAGATAATGATGTGCTGTAATTGTTTGGTTTTGTTCATCATAGCACAACTTCCCACAGAATGAAAACATATTAAACTTCATTTGCCAAGGTTTACATGTTGCATACTTTTCCAAAGAGATAAGACATTTACAGAGGTTCTGGAAGTGAATGTTAGTGTATTTGGTTAACTTGAAAGACAGACAAGGCATATTTAAAATGAATATGAGTAGGATTATAAGCCCTGTCTAAAGATATTTTCTGTCTGGTTTATGGCATTTTGAAAGTACAGTAAATCTAGTGTAATATCCAACCTGCCCAGAATACTGGTATTATTAGCATACCTACCAGCCATAGCAGTACAAAGCCAAATATGGAATAAATTGAAATATCTTACGGTGAGTAGGTGCTTTCTCCACACACAGTTTGTGATTGAGTTTAATGTCTTAGTTGCCTTGGTTCAGGTAAATGTGTCATTCAGCCTTCTGCACTTCATGCACATTCTTTCCTGTTAGCCATAACTGCTGCACAGGCACATTCATGGGTAGTTATATTGCACATGTCTTTGTACTTAAGATATTATTTATGTCTCAGGAAAAGGTTTCCACATACTTGGTGAGTTTGCCAGCTGGGAAAATCTTGCTTTTCTCTTTAAAAAAACATTCAAACCCACCCCCAAAACTGCCAATATGTCCCTTCTGTTCTCTGCCCAGCAAAAGTAGTTTAAACTTCAAAATAAAGACCAGATAATGCATAATTTCTCAAAGATTACCAGACTGACATGTTGAGGGTTTTAGTGTAATGGCATTTCTAAAGGTTCACACGGATACGTTACTGAGAAAATTACTTACATGCTTTTAACATACAGAGCAAAGAGATGATGAGAAGTATTTGGAATTTAATACAATGTCTTTCATTTGCCCTTAGTCATTAAGCTATATCACTGCACACTTGTAAATGTGTGCTACCTTCCTACTGGGATGTGTTTCCGTGGTCCGTGAGTCTGGTTTTATGCAGTAAGGATAACATTATTGTGTAATCGGTCACTAACTCACAAGTAATGTTATTACTCATTTTCTACTGCTATTACTAGGTCAGGCCATACATGTTGTATATGACCTCTCAAATAAAACATGCCACATAAATAGTGAGTATTCAAATTGGTATACAGGGTATTTTGTACAATGTAGATCTCAATGCGTCGTTGAGTAGCAGGATGTAAAGGTTTTATTAGGTCTGAGTTTGAAGCACTTGCAGTAGTATCATGAGTAGTGAGGTATGTCAGTTTTCATTAAAATGATGCAGTATATTGCGTGTGTGTGACAAATAAGGTAGGAAAACTGTGAGTTGTGTTGTAGTAAAGGCCTGTTGCACAAAATACAAACCTCTTTTATCATCTTCCTCTTCTCATTTTGCCCAGCTCTTGCACAAGGAATTTGTTGGGGGAGACAGGAGCAAACAGATGGAAAGAGAGTTTTTCCTAGCAGATGTTATGTGTGCTCTTTGAAACAAGATCAGAAATTGATGTTAGACTTTTTGATGGTGTTTTTATTAAATGTCAAATATCTCTCGTTTCACAAAGGGAAGTAGAGTCAACAAAAAAGCTGATGCTATTTTCTTTTTTACAGAAAAGTCTGCAAGTCTGGGTGTAGGAGTGGGAAGAAGTGTGGTGATTTCAAAGTCACTGTTAAATTTTACCTGTACAGGAATGTTTTAAACACCAAAAATAATATTATCTGTTCATTCATGCAGTTGTCAATTCTACATATTACAGAAGTGTCAACCTATTAATTTAATATCTGGGCATTAAACCCAATGCACTCAACTTTAACATTTAACCTAATTCAAGATGTGGATGTAGCAAAGGGTATTTTCTTAGGTTCTCATCACAGCTCCTTAGCGAATGCTGTGTGCATAGTGATGGAGTGCCTTGCTTTTCCAAGCAGAGTTCAGTTCAATAGAGAATTATATCATGTGCTCTAGAGAAAAGTATCACATTGTTCTTTATCTGTATTTTTAGGTACTGCTGTAGCACTCATTATCCTAGCTTCGGGATTTTTGCTATCAGCTCAGGTCTCGCCAAGAATCACACTTAATCCACCAGATCCTTCACATCAAAACTCTACCTGCACAAAATACAGGTGAGATTTCATGATCATTCATCCAATCTTCTTGAAGATTGTTTCCATTTAATTGAGTTTTACAAATTAGTGGAGTAATAGACAGTTATTCACAAAGCCTGGTACAAGGAACTAAACTAAATATCTAAAGGTTAAATCCTAACTTCCCTCTGTAGAGAAGATTAGACTCTAATTAAATTCTCTGAATAATCCTTTGGAGTTTCTTGGACTAAATAAGATGGTTAAGTGGCAAATTCCACATTTACCTCCTCTGATATATCACACCTGCTGCAAGTCATAGTGTACACAAAGTCAGGAATATTTCACAAAGAATTTGTAAAAATACTTGCTGTTATTCATCTGCTTGTACATTTGTCATGCATAACAGCTGTAAACTCTTCAACAATGTGTGTTTCTTGCCTGTGGTTTTCCTGAGTGGAAAAAAAAATAATCTTCAGTTAATTACATACCAATTAATAATTAAAATAAATGTGATGCTTTTGACCTATTTTTCTATAGTAGGTAGAAGATTCACTTCCGTACGCAATCATAGTTTCAAGTAACATTACTTCTGGGGTTTTAGGAATGTGTGATTTTCTGTATTTCGTGAGTTTTATTCATATGTGAGTGCTCTTTTGTTCATTTAGCTGGCAGACTAGAAGTTTCCCTATTCAGAGAAGACTAGTTCAATGGCTGAAGAAATTCTTACTTATGTTCAAAATCTGTTTTACAAGTGTTTGTAATAGAAATAAATGCCAAGAAAGGAGAGCTACACTTCTAGTTTCCTAGCAATATTGGCTGGTTCATGGCTTTTCTTGTGCTAGAGCAGTGTCTTAGATGAAAGATTCTAAGGATCTGGGGAGGGGGTGGAAGGTCTTCATTGAGTATAAATAGATACTAATAACTGCAACATGAGATACTACCAGATAGAAGGATTTCTACATGCAAAAACCTGTATTTTTACTTGGTTTTTACTTCGGAGCTATACAGCAGTATTTTGCAATTTTTGAGATGGGCATGTCTACAAATGGGGAGTAGTCTGGTTAAAAGATGTAAAGGGGGAAGAGCTACCAAATGCTCTCCTTTTGCAATAATATTTCCTTAAAAGAAGAATGTGAGAAGGATTTGCGTAGGACTTCAGTTAATCGTGTGGAAGGGATGTCTGGAGAGAGCAGATACACCCTTTGCAGAACTTATAATTTGTTATTTAATAAAGCTAGGTGATTATATAACCTGAAACAGTATAAAATCTCCATAGAAGAAATAGGGCTTGTCCAACTTAAAAAACAATGAAAAAGTATTTGATGGAGTTTTCATGTTCTAGTCAACCACAACCAGGCAGGAAAGAAATTTAGACCCACTGCAGGTTGTGTGGCATGCACTTCTGGGCAAAAGCATGAAAAATTAAAGCAGGTAGCTCTAGTAAAGGCATGTTGTTTCATGAATTGTTTGAATACTTATAATCTGTTGTGATTTCTGCGATTTCTGTTTCTGACATGAAATGAGCAAAAGCAGATATGATACAAATTCAGAGAGTCTGGAAAAGGAGCAATAAAAGAATTGAAATATTTTCATTTGAGAGTATTTTGAAATAGAAGGACCTCTCTTTCTTTAAGGATAAAACTGAATGAGGGGGTGGAAATAATGAGCAACATATGAGAAAGCTTTAAGTGTTTCTATTTTAATCTTATGGTGTACTTTAGTAGAAAGACACAAAAGCCAGGAGAGTTGAAACTAATAAGTGGATGCTGTTGCCGACAAATCACAGAATTAGGCTACATCACCCAGTATTTAAAAGGATTAAAAAAAATAGTGAATGATACGCTTAATAACAACTTTCACGCTTCTATATATAATACTGTATAAATTTTCATGCTTCAAGCAGGAAAATACAAGTATACATTATATTTGACTTGGAAAAGTGTCTGTTTAAGGACCAGGTATGCCTGCTTTCTGTGCACATTGTCAATAAGCTGAATGAAATTTTTAAAATTGTTTTAGTAATGAGAAAGTAGATGGTATTTTCACCGTTCCACTTGGGTTAGAAGAAGTTCAGCATAACATGCATGGCCTTGGAAGGAAGAGGTGGAGCCAGCAAACCAAAGGAAAGCTAAAGGCTGGGGTTTATGCCATGTGGCTCACCTCTCCCTCCTTTTTGGCCCTGGACGTATTCCCTATGGCAATTATGGAGTTGAATCAAAGAGATTCTCAAACCAGAGGATTTGGAAGTAAAAGTCTACTCTGAATAATGCCAGTGTTCCATATTTTCTTTGCTACTCCAAGAACAATACTGTATAGATAGCCTCCAGGTAGGGCAGCAAGTGTTACTGTAGATAGTTACAAACAGGATATCCAGTCAAAGTAAAAGGAGGTAACTTAATGGCAGTGGTCTCTTGCTGTTTAACCTATATTTTAGCTTGCACCACTGTAACTGTTGGTATCTCAGATTGCTTAGCATTGTCTCTTGCAAGCCTTCAAGAGGTCTCAGAAAGTTTGGGAAAACCAAAAGGCAGCAGGACTTCAGAGGATGGGCAAGTAATGCCATCTCACTGTAACTGCTTTTGAATATGTGTGCCTACACAAATGCAGCTCACAGTCTTCATCTAAGGGTGACACAGTGCTTCTCTGAGGTGAGCTATCCTTAGAGTATAAAACTGTTTGCAGCTTGGGCATTTCAGAGTGTGGAGGTGTTTCCTAAATATAATTTGAATTTGTCTTTGCCAAAATGTATTTATAAGTTATGAAAACTTCAGTTATTTTGCTGACAGAAGTTTCACTGACACTGTTCAGAGTAAAAATGCTTTTTATGTTTGCAAATCCGTTGTATTTGAGTAAGTAGGGGTATCCATTAAGAAACCCTTGGAGCTACTACAAACAGTATGTTTGCTTGTTGTTCCTTCAGATCCATATTCCTCTGCACAGATTAATTCCTGCTGCTAGAATAACAATGAAGATAGAACAGACTAGCAAATAAAGAGCATAGTCATTGTCCTAATTCAAAAAAGCACCTAGGGCTTGAACACTGTGTTCTGAAAGAGCTGTGCCATGCAAACAGAGTAACAAGATACTTGTACATGTTTACAGAAAACAAACCAGTAACATATGCTGTGAATATCAAACAAAATATTTTCATTTAGTGTAGAGATGTACAATATCATAGTCAAACAGACAAAAAATAATCCATAAATCTGTGAAACAAAATTTGAATCACGGAAATAATGCAAATTCAGCAGGGCACTCTGAGCACTGAAATCTGTTTTGCCTCCTCACAGGTGGAAGTGGGTGTGTGTCTCACTGAGGAGGGGCAAGGTGAATGCTCTCTGTGTGCCATCCTTAAATCAAACTTCATTTTCACAGTCAGCTGTGTAAGTTTGTGTAGATAATTTGCAGTGTGGTCACCTGCTTTATTTGATCTTAATCTCCTCAGCAGCCATGATCTGTTACATATCATCAAGGCCACAGAGAAGCTCAGAGGTAAATTTAAGAATACAAACCAACGCCATCCCAAAATTTATCAGCTTAGAAATGAAAAGATGAACTAGCCATTCCTATTCTGACTACCAAAACTCTATGAACATGTTCCTGTTTTTACTGGGAACTTGCCTGGTTCTGGAAGGAGGTTGAAACTGGGACATTAGGACGTTAGTTACCCTCCTACCTTTTCCCAGTCTTTAAAGAATCAGTGGTGTGACTGGGAAATTGAGCCATTTCTGTAAAATGACTGTTGTCCTGCTTCCTTATATTCTTAGTCCTTTTGTCTCCTTTTATTCATATGTCTGTCTCTCTCACTGCACTTCTTGACACTTGGTCAGCTGTAGAAGGCATAATGTGAACTTGCTCTGCTTAAGCAAAATTTTTCATCTCAGTTACTATATGAAAATGGTAAATACTGTGTTAAGCTTAGGTTAACACTCATATCTTAAGGAAATAATACCTGTGCACAAGAAGTTTCTCAGGATCCTTCCTGAACAGATTGTCTTCAGTCTGATTAGAATAATACGGGTGGTGCCAGCTGTGCTGGGCACACAAGGACTCTGTTGTTCATTTTTGAATTAGTCACCCTCACGTGGTTAATGTTCCTAAGCTTGTTGTACAAATACACACCACCGAGATGGAGGCACCAATATTTAGTACTCTAACACAGCCATTTTATAAGATAGCTAATGGACAGAAATATGTATTTTCTTTATGAATGTAGCAAAAGTATATAATTGTGATCAGTCCTGAAAAACTCACCTAACCTAGTAACTGAAGCTGGTTTTATTGTATTTAATAGCCTTAGGATACATATAGTAAGTGTATTAGCTATTGTACTTTATTTTATTGACATAACTCGTTGACAGTGTGATTTATCAGCAAACTAGGCGTTGGTACTCTGCATAATGTCACTGTATCGTGGAACCAGTATCTTTTAAAATGTGATTCTCATTTTCTGTTTCTAATACCAAAGTGCTTGAGCTACTGGTCTTTCTGACAACTGAAAGTTGCAATAATAAATATAGTAATGTGGTTTGGCTATTAAGGTAAAAAAATTATGAATATGCGAAGAGATAAAAATGTTTGAGAATACTTTTGCCAGCTCTTATGAAGTGTAATTAAAATTCTGATAGTTTGTGTTGTAGAACTGGGAAGTGACCTCAGCATAGTCTTGGAATATATTAAGTAAATAATATAAGGTTATATTGCTTGGTAATAATTTTCTTTTTGCTGGCATGTTGCTCCTATCAATCAAAACTTGTAATTTAATTTTAAATTATAAAGAATAGTGTCATGGTTTGAGATAGCCCCAAAATCCAATTCCCTAGCTCCATCCCCCCTCCCACATCTCAACCTAATGTGAGATGGGTTTTTTTCCAGACAAAACACAACCAGACTCAGAATGGGGGAAAGGGAATATATATTACAATGACTGTACAAATAAATACTTATACTATAACACATTATACATACGATCACAACTATCTCTACCATGACATACAGTATTTACAATGGATCAGATCTCTTCTCCCCTCCAAATAAAA